GCCCTTGGACTGAGCTGCAGGGGAGGTGGAGCGTGGCTCTTGGCTCAGCACCGCTGCCCCAGGAATGGAACCCTTGGTCCTGCCTTCCGGGAGTTCCAATCTATGAACATGGAAACTTTTTGTGAAAATGGAAAACTTTTGAAAATCTGCTACAGTGTTTTCACGGCTCTTGATTCAACATTTCCTCCTTCCCAGTGACCAGATAGTGATCTTCCTAACAACGGGACCCACTGGACTTTAGACTTGGATTGGGTTCAATTCAGCAATAAGGGAATAAATAATAAAGCCAGTCATTGTCCTGAGGATGATATGCTCAGAGATGAGTCAGATCTTGGGTGGTTGTGGGGTGTTCATTTCTAGAAGGACAACGGACGTGGCAATGAATAGTCACAGGGTCTGAAGAGGGATGGTCATGCCAGCATTCTTTCTTATTCATTCATTCATTCATTCCTTCACTCACTCATTCACTCAACAAATATCATTTGTGTACTGCATGCCAGGTGCCACGTTAGGAATTCTCTGTGTTGCAGCAGACGCAGCTTTTGCCATCATGGAGCTAATGGTCTGGTGAGCAATCCAGATAGTGAATAAATAACACACAATACATCCTTCATTTGCACTTGTGGTGGAGGCAATGAAAGCAGTACGGGTGATAGCAGGGAACCTGTGAATTTAGACGGTTGCCTAAAAGTGACACACCTTCGTCCTCCACCACATTCCAACCTTTGACTTCCCTGGTTCCCGGGTCCCGGCTGCCCACCTCTGGGGTGGAAGCTGCTGCCTTAGCGAAGCAAGGCCTGGGCATATCTGCCTAACGTGTGGCTGAAATATCTGGGTTCACCAGGGCATGAAGACAGCTAGCACAGGGAAAGGGGCTCTGGCTGGGGATCCAGAGGTCCTGACTAGCTCCGGTTCTGGCACAAAGCAGCTGAGTGGCCTGGATCCCACCCCCCCAGATACTCCCTGTTCCATCCTGCTCTAGGACCTCTCCCCACTTCTGGTTTCCTCCCATCTCCTCTATATACACACAATGCGGAAACAGCACCTTCACCCCAGGAGCCAGATGCTTGCCTTCACGTAGCACCAACTTGGGCACATCCATTGATCTCTGTCTGCCTCAGTTTCCACCTCCATAAAGTGGGCACAGTGCCTAGCACTTAAGATGTTGGGATGAGTATGGGGGTTGATGGAGGCTTGCCTTATACCTGGCCCCAGGGCATAGGCCATGTAAGTGCAAGGAGCTCTTCTCATTATTGATAAGGTATTTGTCATTATTTGTATTATATTGCTTCCCCTCCAGGTTAATGTGAGTTTGGAGGTAGCCCACAGCAACTCATGCCTTATTATATGCAGCACTTAGTGTCACACCATTAAGCATGCAGCAGAATCACCTGGCGGGGGGGAGTGGCTGACAGACTGCCAATCATTGGGCCCGCCCAGAACCTCTGGAGCAGGACCTGGGAGTTTGCATTTGTAGCAAGTTCTTTGGTAATGCTGCTGGTCCATGGACCGCACTCTGAGAACCGTAGCACTCTGTTAACTACTCAGATTTTATTGGCACAAATCTATAAATGCGTGTATGTTTGAGCACCTACCATGTGCCAGTCACTGTATTAGGAACATTCATATGTTTCATTTTATTTTCATCGCAGTGCAGTCAAATGGTCCACATTCTCCTCATTTTTTGACAGGTGAAGTTACCCAAGCTTAGAGAGGTTGTGTGCTCCTCCAGAAGTCATCTGACTTGTGTTTGGAGCCTGACCTCTGACCTCTGGGCAGCAATTTCAGGGCTGTATTTTCTCATTGCTTTCTAAGCCTGGTTTGGTGATAGAAGCAGTGCCAGAAGGAATCTGAAGGGGAGGAGGGGATATCTGACTCCCGGGTGGAGAAGAGGCCTGTGCTTGTGTGATCCTGACTGTGGAGCTTACATAGAGATGGAACTAGGAGATCTGATCACAGAAGCAGGATAGAAGCTCCATCCACACAGCTCCTGCCCTGAGACTATCTAGGGCCACGAGGAAGACACAAGATCTCAGGCCGGGGCAGCTCCCTGTGGCTCAGGGGTGTCCCTCAGTGCGGACGACTCTTGTCCCAGCTGAACAGTTTGGCTGCTTCCCCGCCTCTCCTCTACCCTGCCCTTCCTCCCGGCAGCCAGCCGGGAAAACAGGTGTTGCCCATTAACAGAAGCACAGCACCAGTCTGAAGGAAATGCTTAGCCATGAAGTCCTTGACACAGACTACGATTTTGACAAATAAGACTCAAAGGCAGGAGGCACCAGGAGCACCCTAGACCCGTGCCAGCTGCTGCCACAGTAAATGAGGGCAGACAGTGGGGCTTTGGCAGAGCAGCTGGGCACAGGGGTCCCTCCAAGCATCGTTCCTCTCTGCCTTCCTGTCATCCACGTGGGAGACTAGAGACCCTGGGACTGCAAGAACATTGGCCAGGACGGAGACTGAGGGTGCAGCACACCCCAACTTTACTACCAGTTCCTTTGCGTGGGATTTCCTGCTGGGTCTAGGGCTCCCTCCTCTCTTTCCTGGCCTTTGCTGTCCAGGGTTGCAGTTCGGTGGCTGACCCTGGTGAAAGGGGAGGACTTATCTCCTACCTTCTGTATGTTGACCCCCACATATAGCGTAGCAAGGTAGGGGAGAGGGGGAAGAGGCAGTGAGGTCACAACTGGGTAGGGTGGCTTCTTTGGGGGATTTCAATACCCACGAGGTGAGAGGCTCAACTGTCACCAGGGGACCTTGATAAAATGCGGACTATGTCTCACCACGTCTGGGTGGAGCCCAGGTCCAGCATGTACCCAAGGGACGCCACATGCCCTTAAGCAGCAAGGTTCAGGGTAGCAATTCTCAAACATGGCCACATGTTGGAACTCTGATACCACCCGAGCTTCTAATGAGATTGGTCTGGCTTTGGGCCTCAAGTGGTTCTAATGTGCATTTGGGCTCCACCGCTGTGGTAGTCAGGATCTGGCTAGAGTCAAACAGAGCCTGAGTGCCTCAGTATGCCTCTCTGGAGAATGGAGCAATAACAAGGGCACCCATGGTGTGAAGTGGGAAATTCACCACTGCAGAGTGAGCACCGCGCCCTTCAAGCAGCTGTGAAGAATGGGGCTGCTGAAGGAGGCACCGTGTCCTCACTACATCACAGGCGCTCCAAAATGCTACCTGAGGGCCGAAGCACGCCAGCTCCCTGAGCCCTGGGAGTAGGGGCTACAAGGCCTCGTTCCCCTCTCAGTGTGGCGTTGGAAGCACAGCAGGCACTGGGATTCGGATGGGCAGGAAGCGCTCAGAAATGGATGTTGGCTATGGGGAGGGGGTTGCCCCACTGTATTTCCAGCCTGACACATCGGCTGTTGGGAGACGCTCTCTCCTGCGATGTGCGGTGAGCCAGGGTTTGGAGAAAGGCATTTTCCCGGGGACAAAGCAGCATCCTGCCCTTGTTGATGGAGTTTTCCTCCTTAGCAGAGCCAGAGAGACTTTCATTGTCTAGAAGGGCACCTGCCAGGCTCCCACTTGGAACAGAGATTGGAACAGCTTTTACAGATCCTCCAGTGAAGCTGCCACACGCGGCCCCTCGGCCCTCGCCAAGACCCCTCCCAGCAGCGGTTATCAAGGCTTCTGCAGAACAGCTCTATCTCACCACAGCGTGCAGCTGTCTTGCCTCACAGTAGCGAGGCTCAGGGCCCCGAAGACAGCTCTGGTGCACAGAGCATCAGGCAGCCAGATCTGCAGGAGCACCTGGGAGGTGATCAACCGGCTGGCTAGGCCATCCTCCACCAGCAGCCCCTGCCCAGGGCCCTGCAGACCCAGGGCACATGGGCATGGCACCAGGCACGGGGCTGGGGCTGTGAGTGATCGGAAGATGACACAGCTAAAAGAGCGTCACTTTAAGGTACAAAGGTATATTCCACTTCTGGGCCAACACTGCTCCTCGGGCTGGGAATGAAGTAATGAATTATTACCCAAGGAAATGAAATCACCAATAAATTCAAAGCAAAGCTAGGGAGGTTAAACTCCATTTTGAAGAAGGAGCTGGTGATTTATAAAGTGTCCTCTTTGCTGGCTTCCTGAGGCTCCATTGGCTCTCCCCGTCCCCCCCCCCACTCTCCACAGAGCAGGCTCTGACCCTGTGGACTTGTAGCACCCCCAAAACCCTTACCCCCATTGGCCTCTGGCTTTACTTCTTTTCCTTCCCTTATGAGCCCTCCCCACCCCTAGTGGGAGGTTAAAGCCCAAGTCAGGCTGAAATTTGGGCCAGTTGGTTTCAAGAGCTCAGTCCCCAAGGAATGGCCACTAGGAAATCTGTCTTCCTCAGGACTCCATTCTGACCTTTGCGCCAACAAATTACAAGTAGAAGCAGCTCGGAATAGGCAATCAGGCTCCTGAGCGCTTACACTGGCCAGGGTGCTGCTCACACAGTAAGTGACTAATCGACTTAGCCTCGGAGCCACAGCCCAGCCCTCTTCCCGTTTGTCCTCTCTCAGCCTTTTCTAATCCCTCTCAAGCTCCATTCCTGAAACATTGCCCTCCTCATCTCAGCTCCCCTCCTTCCCTGCCTGAAGCCATCAAATCTCCCCCTAACCCCCCCACCCCCATCTGACCTCATTGCCCGTTTCCATGGTGACAGGCTTGTGATGTCACTGTGGAGGCCTTGGAGCCTTCAGGTGGGTAGGACGAGAGCAGCAGGTGATCAGATGGAGGGAAAGAACAAGGATCTTGTTTTTGTGCCATCATCCCTAAAAAGTAGAAAATGGAGGTGGGGTAGAAATAGAGGCGAGGAGGATCTCAAACTGCAGCCACTCCTCACCCAGCTGACTTTGACATCACTGAGCTTAGCCAGAGTAGGCAGTGAAACTCCCCCAGCCTCTGCCCCCCATGCCATGCAGCCCCACCCTCCTGTCTGCACAGCTGATTTCAAAAGCAATGGAGTCACTGAGGGAGGAATGCCACAGGACACCATGACTCAGTTTTCCCCGGTGGGCTGTTTTCTGCGGTCTGCCCTAAATATTCCAATGGCTGTGACCTAAGCCTCCGCCGTCTGACTTCACCATCCATTTCTGCACACCCTGGGTGACTCGTTCTTATTCCCAACTTTAGTAAAACACAGGTCCCAGGGCAACCTTAGAGCAGCCTGGGTTCTCCAGGAAGCCCCAGCATCAACCTGTCTTCAGAATGAGCCCCAACTGGGGACAACGTGGCTGTGATTTCAGTGAGGACAAATGTGGCTCCCCCAGCTTCTCTGGGCGTTTGGGGTCCCTTTTATTCCTGTGGGGCACCAAGAGGAATAATGCAGCCTCTGTTGGGAAACAAAGGCTTGGGCAGGCTCTTCCCAGTCTAAAAAGCCTGGTTTCATTGAGTCTCAGGTAATTTACCTGCAGCCTGAATTATTTAGACAAATTAGGCGCACTTGGACTTCAGGTGTCCCAATTACCTGGGTGATTTGCATGTTTATGAGTGAAGGGGATTGAACAAGTGCTCAAATTGAATTTCAAATTCTGACTTTGGAGTGAATGGCCCTAAAGCCCCTCCCACCTCACTATCACCACCAGCTGGAGGAGGAAGGGAGGAAGCTCAGGGCTTGAGCAGAGAAGAAAGCATCTCACACCCAGAGCAGGTGACCAAGGAGCCCTCACCGTCCCTGGGGCTGGGCCGAGTCTTAGTTTCTCTGGCTGGCAAACCATTACTAAGAACCAGAGAGCGGCTCCAAAGGGAGGTGGGAGAAGAAAGTGAAAATCTATATCATTGATTTTTAAACCTAGGGAAAGAAGATTCCCATAGCCCAGCCAGGAGGTGAAGAGTTAATCCTATAATCTAGTCTGCCAGGGACCAAGGCAGGACTGGAGCTATTTTCAAACCTAAGTGTGCATGCAGAATGCTTGATGCTTGGGGGTGCAGCTGGGAAGCGGGAGACCATTTGCAAGCATTAATGGAACACCCTGGGTATGGATGGGGTTTGCTCTCAAGCCCTGGTGGAGTTCAAGGGATACAGAAGCTCTCCTGTATCTTCTGTTAGAGCACGGAGGACCCTCCACTTTTCAGTTTTTTTCTCTGAGCCTCCTCCTCCCTCCTCCCCAGGTCACACCTCCCTGCTGGGCTCCATGAAGTACGTGCAAATGCAGATGACCTTTTCAGAGTTGGACCGATTACACTCAAATGAAAGGGTTTAACCACTGCAAAGTCACTCAGGCAAACTTCTAGTTGTCCCAGTTCCAGAGGCCCAGTCCCTCCTTGAATTTTGGACTCACCTGGAGGATGCTTTAAGCTGTTGATGCTCAAGTCACACTCCTGGAGAGTATGATTTCATTGGTATTGGATGCAGTGGTGGCATTTTTTTTTAAAAAACAAGCTCCCCAGGTGTTTTAAACATGCAGTAAAGTCTGAGAACTGCTAAGCTGGAGGGTTTAGTTTTGAGTTGTTAATGGTCAGTCTTTAGGCTGAAATTGATCAAGTTTGATACTCTGTTAATAGGATCAAGACGCACAAATTCTCTTCGCCAGCTGGGAAGCCGCCTTCCAACAAAATAGCAATGCAAAACTTCCCTGTGAGTATTACTATAGCTGGGCCTTAAGGCAAGCAGAGATTTAGAATCCCACAGAATTAAGTCTTACCTAAAATGCCATTTAGTTGGACAAGGAGGGAAAAGGAAGAAATAATTAATATTCCTTGAATGTCTGCTTGTGCCAGGAACTGCACTTGGAATAGTACACTGAAATTTCATGTATTCTTTCCAACCACATGACAGATGGGTATTATCCCCACATTACAGATGAGGAAAATGAACTTCCAAGAGGACAAGTGACTTGCCAAAGCTCACACAGCTATTCAGTGTTAGGAGACAGTTTCCATTTCCGGATGTCTTTCGGGAGACATGGAGTGCATTTGTTCTGAACTATTTACAAGAACTTCGGGCAGTGACCAGCTTTGTGAGATACAGGGTCACCCTCTGGAGTAAGCAGTAGGCATGCTTGCTGTCTGTTATAAAAGATTCAGGTTCCCTGAGCTCAGGGCTTCTGTTCTGCAACAACTCGCTGTAGTTACAGGGATCCCCTCCTCTCTGATCCTCTCTGCACTGCCTGGCTAGAACTGTGGCTGGAGGGGCTGGGGATTTAGCTCAGTGGGGCAGCACCTGCCTGGCAAGCGCAAGGTTGTGAGTTTGATTCCTGGTACCAGAAAAAAAAAAAAGAACTGTGGCTGGAGGTATTAGTACAGAAACAACACAATTCTGGTTACAGCTGTTACTGTAAGAAATTATCCTTTGTCTCAAATTCATGAGTCTGATGCCTTCAGCCAGTTTACCAATGAAATGGGAGCAAGCCAGGGTGACTTATTAATTTACAAATAAAAATCTCAGAATTTACATGGCTCTTGACAATGAGTAGTGGGATTGATATTTTAATTTAAAAATCATTTCCTCTAAAGCCTGTGTGTTTAGGAGGTGGGTAAACAAGAGAGGACATCAAAACAAAATATACATTCTACATCAATAGTTGCTTTCCCACAAGACAGAAAATATCACAGATTAAATAAACGGATTAAGCCAGGTGTGGGAGTGCATGCCTATAATCCCAGCGCTCTGGGAGGCTGATGCAGGAGGATGGCAAGTTCCAGCCCATGCTAGGCAATTTAGTGACTTAGTGAGATATTGCCTCAAAATAGGAAAAGAAAAAATGAAAAAGGGGTTGGGGATGTAGCTCAGTGATTAGACACTGGGTTCAATCCTCAGGACCAGCAACAAACAAACAGATAAACACATACCTACAAACAAACTGATTGACTCTGTATCAAGACTTAAAAGACGTATGAAATTTAGACACAGTGAGGTACCTTGTTGGTTCCAAATTCCATTTGATTTTAAACTCAGAGCTAGTTCCTCTTTTAAGAACATTTCACTGGGTTCTATCAGAATAGAATGTAGGTCAGAATATGCACATCTGGTCCAGACGTGTCTCATTTCTCCAAACTCACTCACCTTGTGGTTGTCAGAAGCCTGTTGCCTCCCTTTGCCTACTTATTTCCAAGTTGGAGAAAAAATATTTTTGTTCTGGAGTGAAAGCCTGTATGTCCCCTCTTTTTGTCACCATTGCTTTCTTTTTTTTTTTTTTGGTCACCATTGCTTTCTGAAGTCGAAATTTTTAGAAGGCTGTTGATCATCCTGACCCTGCTTCTCGGTATCATTTTCCAAGGCCCTTTCTAACATCCTTGTTTACTTAAGCCAGCGAAGTTACTAGGAGAGCCTCAGTGCGACAGGATGGCTTCCTTCCAGACGTAGTTACCTTCCCTGCTCCTGAACGAGAATTTCACATGCAATGGTGATTTCTCGTAGCAGGCTCTATGTAATTTCAGTTGTTAATTATTATCATTAAAATTATTAAAATAACTGCACATTGTGTGCCAGGAACTTTCAAAGTGCTTTAGAAAGTATCTCAAGTCGACTCAACAACCCTAAAATAGAAGTATTTTCACGTAAAGCTGAGGCTGCAAGGAGACTGATGTCTTCTCCAAAGAACTAGTAAGTGGCAGAGGGTGGACTTTAGGCCAACTCTATGCAGCCCTAAAGCTGAGTTTTTCTATACCCAGCAGCCTTAAAAACAACAGGCTTGCTGAGATATAGTACACACACTACACAATGCACCCATTAAAAGCACACAGTGCAGTGGCTTTGATATATTCTCAGACTGTGTGGCCATTGCTGCGGCTGAGTTTAGAACAGTTCCACCGCCCCCAAACAAAGCTTGCACTTTAGTTATCACCTTGCGTTCCCCTTCCAGCCCTCAACAACTGCATTTTGTAAAGCCTCTTATTTTAAATATATTTACATGCACTTATAAATAGGCTGCCTCTTCAGATCACTGACAGGTTAAGTGTTGTCCCAAGAACCTATTATCTTCTCTCTGGTATTGCCCCTGGTTGATTTTTCTGCCCTCTTTCTGCCCAAAGGCCCCTGAAAAGAGCCTTAGAAAGACTCACAGGAACCTCAGGTGACTGTAGGCTATGTAGTAACTGGACCCAGGAGGAAGGTGTCAGGTCTGGGCTGAGGGTGAGAAAGACAGGGTCCCTAGAAAACTTCTCACAGCTGAGACTCAGGCCTTACATGTCACTAACAGAGAAGACACAGCTGAGCCCCTGGAGAAGCCCTTCATTCATCCTTCTAAAGTGAGCTTGTTCTTCTGGGAATGTGACCTTGCCTCAGGACACCTTGGTTGGCATTGGCCGTGGGGCCGCAGGCTTTGCCAGGAGTTTGGTGTGCATATGTTTTCACCTGAGTTCCCCCACAAACTGGCCCTGAAGGGGCTTTTCTTGGGAGGGACATGGACCAGTGGAGGGAGAGGTGGGTAGATAGCCACTTTAGTGGGAAACCACACTTACTCTCATAGGGAAACTTGGGGAATGCTGTAAATCACACACTGCACAGACCCATCCAGGAGTGTTTAGACACCAACTCCTCAGAGGCTCTGATGGAGGGCTGCCTCCAGAGAGCACAGCTCCTTGGCTGTTCTGGCATGCTATGTTTCTGGAAAAAGAGCAGCCTGATGCTCTTTTGGGAAACACCCACGGGCAGAGCAATGTGACAATGGCAGTGGGAAGTTGGTCAGAATCTACCACACAGCCAGGTCTGTGGTACATGAGTGGGGACCTACAGCATGTGCACAACCTGACCCCATTTAAGTCATGTAGGATTATGGGATGGCCTTGGAAGAGCACATCCCTCCACTACCTGGCTCTGCTCTTGTACTCTGCAGTGGTTAGGGTGCCCCTTCCCATAGTGGTAAGATGTAGCAAATAATTGATCAAGTGAGGATTATCAGGAAGCAATGAGTGAAGAGCTACTTCTGTACTGCTGAAGCCAAAGAACTTCCCATGAAGTCTCAAAGAACGTGGAAGCACAGACAAGATCCCATTGGGATCACTCTTAGACAGAAGGAAGAGGAAGCTCCCTTCCTTGGGGACACAAGGAAAGACCTCACATTTACAAAGCTCATTATTCATTCTGGTTTCTGAGTTGCAGCCTGACTGGTTCCCCTGCCATCCCTACACAGGCCCTGGGAGCTCAGGCTGGCAGGAGACCCAGATGTGGTATCCTAGCTCAGTAGCCTGAGCTGGAAAGGCCACCATCTTCTTTTGCTGATCCTTGGAAATCTCGGCACCTTGGAGTTCCTCTCCTCCTGGAATGGAAGGAAATTTCCAGATCTGGGCAACCTGAAGCCGTATCTACTTCATTGCTATTTGGCAGGATAGTCATTCATTCATTCACTCACTCATTCATTTATTCATTCACTCACTCACTCAACAGTAACTTATTCATTCATGCTTTATCTTTTAAGGGCCTGTTGCAATGAGACACAACAGAAAGATGCAAATCCTTTCCTTCCTTCGTACCTAGAATATGTGTGATTCTGCCACAGTCTAGATCCTTAGTGCCCTGCCTCAGTAGCCCCAGCCCCTGCTCCAGCTCTGTATGTGTGTGTGGAGTGCGGCGAGGGGGTCAAGTCTCAGCAAGGGCAGTTGGCTGGTGACAAACACCCTGAGGAGAGGACAAGAGGTCTTGCTCATGGTCCAGTCCTCAGACCCTAGCATTGTCCCTGGCATAGAAGAGGCAGTCAAACACCTGTGAATTACTGGATGGATGCATTTCATTGTGTAAAAGGCAGATATGTACACATATCTTAAAAAAAATATATTTCTGTATCTATACATTTGGGTATTAATGCCTTGTTTCTGCATTGATGTGTCACTGTTTGGTATAGTTTTATATAGATATATAACCGTGTGTGTGTGTGTGTGTGTGTGAGAGAGAGAGAGAGAGAGAGAGAGAGAGAGAGAGAGAGAGAGAGAGAGAGGACATATACACGTACACAGTCCTTTATACACATGCTCTTCCCTTCATAGCCTTTCAGGAGAATGAATACTTCTGTTTCCTGGTACCTGACTTCGTAAGCCCAATCTGCATTTTCTATACATGTACGGCTCCCCAGATTTTCAAATATTTATACTCCTATATTTAAAATCTGTGAAATTCCTCTTTCTCACCTCTTATGTGCTTGTGTGCTTTCTCTCTCTGCTATCAGCCCTCTCTCTGCTATCAGCCCTCTCTCTCCACCTTATTTCTGCTTTGTCCCTAGATGTATGTACATATAGTTAAAGAAACTCCCAAACTCAGTCACATTTTTCACTTCTAAGTCTCACTGAGGGACACAGCAGAGCCACTGCCCTTGCCCTATAGTAAATCCCCAGCAATGATCCAGCCAGGGAGTGACACAGTGACTTAGAGGCCCCTGACGGAAGGACCTGCCCTCCTGATGAAATACCCCGAGGCTTCGGCAGAGCTGTACAGGAGGAGGCACTAATTGCTGTTTGCCCAGGGCTTCCAAGAGAGGCGCTGGGTAAACACCAGCATTGCCTGGGTTTCTGGAGGCTTAGGGTCTGAATTCTGTGAGTTATGATGTCTTATGATGTTGACTGAGGACCCCCTACACACACTGAAATTTCCACCTGACTGGGCCCCCGCCCAGCTGTGATAGCCTTGGGAGGGCTGTATAGATT